TCTTAGCAATGCATATTACTAATCAAAAATTAAGTTTTGATATATTTACGGTAGGAAATTTACAAAATATCTTCATGGAACATGATCTTTACATAATATCCTAATGATTTTTGGCATAAAAGAAAAATCTATAATTTTGACCCATACAATGTTTTTTTGGCTATTGCTACAAATATACCCCAGCGACTTAACACTGCTTTTGTGCTCCAGGGTCACTTATTATTATTATGTTGTTGTTGTTTTGTTTTTTCTCGGAACATTTCCATTGACCTCCTACAACCACAGAGGTTTCCGGACCCCATTTGGAAATCCTAATCAGTTGTTAGTGGGCAGATTCAGCCAAATTGTAACAGCCAAAAAATGCACTGTATAAAGCTCATAAAGACAAAACCTGATTTGGGGTGACCCTATAAAGTCCTCTAACAACCTCCGCAGGCCCATTCTGGCCATTACCTTGAATCATATGACAGATTTCCAAGGTGTCTCTGCAGAAAATCCAGCCAAACTCTTGGCTCAGGAGTCCATCTCCAACCGCAATCATGATTGTTCCCCGTTACACAGCTTCCAGTAACTACCGTCCGCTGCCACAAGACAAACAGTGTTGTTTTATAGGCCTAGAGCTTGAGGTTACAGCATCTTATTGATGGGGATAACAATAGTGGTGATGATCTGGGCCTGTAGGCTATTCACAAAACATCTTAAGGCTAAAACTAGCTCATAACTCACCGATTTAGGAGAAAATCTTAAAAATAATAGGCGTGTCAGTCCTAAATTTAGGACTCCTGAATTTTGGCTCTAAAACTAGCTCCTAAATCTGTGATCCTTGCTTTCATTAACCAGCTTGTAAGAAGTAACGGCGGTTCTTGCGTCCAGTTTGGTTTTCTTTTACGTTTGCATGTCTCACTATCAGCCATGATTATTCCACTCTGTTAGAGAAGCACACATGTAAGAGGCTGACAATTAGCTGAACATATACTCTTGTTTAATTAGTGACACTTAGCCTGCATTTTAAAATCTTTATTTTGAATGTGGCAACAATTTTATTTTTAAACCTTTATTTGAATATGGCAACATAATATTGCACTCTACAATATTCAGAGACTATCAGCCAATCACTGTGTGCATAGTTAATAAGCACGCATAGCAATGAGGTCAGCCCCGCCCCCTTACTCTGAGCTTAAGACTTCTCTCTATCCTTAGTTTTTCTCAGCAGCTTTTAAGAGGAAACTCTTAGCTAAAAACCTTTACTGCTATTTAGGAGAACTCTTAGTGGTAACATAAAATGTGTCCCTGGAGCACAAAAGCAGTCTTAAAGGGTGCACCCTCAGATTCCAGATTTTCAAATAGTTGTATCTCAGCCAAATATTGTCCGATCATAACAAACCATACATCAATGGAAGCTTATTTATTCAGCTTTCAGATGATGCATAAATCTCAATTTTGAAAAATTGACACTTAAGGCTGGTTTTGTGCTCCAGGGTCACAAATGTTTTGTGAATACGGGCCCTGAACTGTCTCAGATTATCAGTAGGGAAGATCTCAACCCTTGTTACCATGATTCAGTAAATACTGGTTTTGACTGAAGGCACAGTGATCAGTCTGAGCCTGTCGTCTCTCACCGAAGCCGATGAGTCCGAGCGTTTCTCCGCGGATGCGTGCGGCTCCGGATGCCACTTCCCGGATCTGCTCCACGCTCTGAACACGCGTGCCCTCCCGCAGCGCCTGATACAGCCACGTGTTCCTGCGGTACAGATTCAACACGTGACACAGTGTCGAGTCAGCCGTCTCCTCCAACGCCGCCGACGGGATGTTACACACCGCGATCCCTGAACACAAACACACACAACCGCTCAGAAACACTGACAAAACATCATAGAATAAAGCAATAAGGTCCAAGAAGCCGTGGTTTACAGTGAATTTATAATCCCGGATCTGCTCCACGCTCTGAACACGCGTGCCCTCCCGCAGCGCCTGATACAGCCACGTGTTCCTGCGGTACAGATTCAACACGTGACACAGCGTCGAGTCAGCCGTCTCCTCCACCGCCGCCGACGGGATGTTACACACCGCGATCCCTGAACACAAACACACACAACCGCTCAGAAACACTGACAAAACATCATAGAATAAAGCAATAAGGTCCAAGAAGCCGTGGTTTACAGTGAATTTATAACAGCTAAGGGGCGTTGTTAGGTACGACGTGAAGCGGAGTAAACCATGGCTTCACGGGGCTTATTGCTTTTACAAAACGGTTATTCCATATACGTAGTAAGGTTTCACATTTACAGTGAATTTATAACAGCTAAGGGGCGTTGTTAAGTACGACGCGAAGCGGAGTTAAACAGAACAAATAAAGTGTAATGATATTAATAAAAACAGTATTCTTCCACCAAACAATGTAGCTCCTCAGAAACAGTTGTGGTTCCAACAAAGTGGTTGCCGAGCAACAGACAAACGTAAACAAAGGTGTATGTTACTTTGTAGAGTAATTTACAACAGCTTCGAACGCGGCTCAGCCAATCAGAATCAAGCACCGGAACTATCCGTTTTATAAATATCAGTCGCCACTCTGTATCTCTAATAATATGATGAGATTGAAATGATCCAAACATATAATGCAATGCAATCCAATGATGATTGAGAGATGAAGAAATAAACGCTCCTCAGAAGATGTGAGATTTTATTTGAAATGGAAATCTTTTGTAACATTATAAATATCTCTACTGTCACTTTTGATCACTTTAATGCATCCTTGATGAATAAAAGTAAAGCTGAAATAAAATGTATAAAATAAAATAAAATATTAAAAACTTAAAAACTTGCCTTAGCAACTAACTGAAATAATAAAATAAAATATCAGATTAGATTAGTACTGAAGTACTAAAATTACTAAAGCTAAAACAGAAAGTGTAAATATTAGATGAAAATCTTAAAATTTAAAAATGCAAAAGAAAATTTGACATCTAAGATAAGCAAGTTTAAATTGAAGTACTAGATAAAAGCATCTGCTAAATGACTAAATGTAAATGTAAATGTACTATAAAAACTAGACATATTTTAAAAACTAATAAAAATTATGAATACACAACAACATTACTAAAACTAAAACTGAAATAAAAAATAAAAACTATATACGTGTT